ACAAGTGTTAAAAGATTAACATATCAAAGTGAAAAGACAAGGCTATGCGATTGTTGCTCCAATAGCGTCTGCAATTGTAATAAACAATCCATATGCTCTAACCAAACTTTCCCTCCTTTATGATGAACAACATCCCAACCTACAAAAACGTGACTGAAGAACAAGATTATAAGATTAATTTATTAAGTTCCATAATAATCTTGTAAGATAAATGATTAAACTTGACCCCATCAACTCCATATTCTCCAAGTTGGATCAAAGGGAAATAAATCATAATAAAAAAGAACGTCCAGTGATCAACTACGGAAGTATTTAACTAGGTAAGGAACTACTTTACCCTAGAAATGGAATGGAACAGAAAGGAGGAGTTTGCATGCATACCTTAAAGGCCCCAAGACCCTATCTTCTATCACAACCGAAATGTTGATCCACTCGAATCGAAGGCTTGTTCAAGCTTTTTCTTCTTTGATCTTTCCATTGGCAGAAACTCAGTCTCTTGACAGAAGTCCAAATTTTCCAGCTATAATTTTTGAGACTCAAGCTCCATTAGACTAGCATAAAAATGTGATTGAAAGTCACTAACTCTTAAGAATTTTACAAGTATGCCAACAAAATAGTGTAACACTTGTTTTAAAAAGAAAAAAGTGAAGAAAGAAATACCAATGYRACCAATTTTCATGCCATGTGAGGCTCAGATMTGTAAATAATCRAAAAAGAGGATAAATCCACCATGGCTGCAAATGGATGCCCTGCCAAGATGCGAAWAATCYTTAACTTTTTTAGGTTAGTTTACATTATCATTTAGTTGATCAAAYATGACTAGTTAATCAGAGCATCTCCAACAAATTCTTTATATATACTCCAAACTAGATAACGAAAAGTTAAAATCTCYAAAATAWATCAACCGATTTTTTAAAAGCTTGCTGTCAGCTTTGCGCTGCTGTAGCWTTTTGCGCACAACTTTCATCTCGAAGCTCCAAAATTCATGATTCCAGTTGCATTTGAAAGATRAAACATATATCTACATCTTTGAGATTTTGAGTTTTCTCAGATTCAATGTGCAGATAYGACTTATTCTGTGTCAAAGTCTGTAGATRCGTGCTGGACAGAAGCTACGTACTTTACTCCTTTCTTCCTAATTTCAGAACGGTGTTCTCTCGTCTGTTCTTCATAGATTCAAGCTACGATTTTGATATATTATATGTCACTCCCTAATTTGATCTTAAA